TTGTGAGAGAATTTGAGGCTAGGGTCATGAACCAAGCCTTGGCTCGATCCTTCAGAGTCTCTGGGAAGCACCGCATTTTAAGATGGTCCTCACACAGCCTATGTAGAGGAAACATCTGGAGAACGTTGTAAAACTCTCGGAGAAAATGGAGTGGATCTTCATTAGGGAGCCCGTGGAATGAAGGCAACTGATTGTAATGGATCATTTTCAGCTCAAAGTTGCGGGCGGCTTGTGGCAACCAGATGCAAGAGGTGATTGTCCCGATCACTGTTTGGGCTAAGATTCGGAGGGTGTTACGGGGCAGTTGTTACTACTGTTCACCCATGTCAAAGTTGCTGCCTTTGGACGATTTCGGAGAATGTTTGTCTCCTTTGTGTGATTCGAGAGTAAGCTCTTTCAGTAGCTCTGTCAGGCTCTCGTTGAACAGTTTTTCGATAAGAGATAGTATACATCCACTCCTAGTACGCATACACTAAGACAAACAACGGGTTACGAGCACCAATGATAAACAAAAGAAAATAAAATGAAAACAAAAGAAAACAAAGAACTAATGCCTAAACAAATAAAAAGAAACAAGATAAACACGAAAAATAAACTGAATAAGCGCACAAAATATATCCTAAACCTTCCCCGGCAACGGCACCAATTTGTTGTAAATATTTTCCGAAGTAGAACCGAAAGATTCGAACATCGGGTCTTGTCTCTCGAGGAAGGTTAGCTGAAAATTTCTGTACGATTATTCAAGCACAAATAGAAAAAATAAAATACCTAAACATTCTAATTCAGAGATTGGTTGTTTTTCATTATCAACTACTGCAAATAATTAAATAAGGCAATAAAAATAGCAAAGCAACGAAGAACAATAAGGATTTGAGAAGCTAGGGAGTCGGGGATATCCGGTTTGACTCGAATTGTAATGGGCAAGTGATTGTTCAGCTAAGTGATTTGAATAACTTACACGTTCAAGTATTCATTCTCAATAACTTTTCGTAACAAGAGAACAAACTAGAACGGCAAATTAACAATTCATTTAACTCCTAGGCAATACAGTTACGAACAAGCCTAGCTTATGCAAGCCTATTTTGATGAACTCCTCCCTTTTCGGTTCAAAGAGCCGATTAATATAGACTAGAGGGTGATTAACCGACTAATCAATTAGAGTAACCAACATCAAACAAGAATAAATCGAACTCAATTGAAATCAATTGGAAATTGAAGTGTCACCCTTCAATAATCCTCAATATTCAAATACGATAATTGAAAAACCCTATCAAAAGCTCGACTCGCATAAGATGATCAATCATTAATACCCACTATCACAATCGAGATCAAAACGTCAATCCCCTATTCCCTAGCGTATGAATTTAGCTACGCATAATCGAATCAACAATCAAAATCATAATCATCAAAGAATCCATATTCATCAATTAAATGAGAAGAAGAATCTTACGATTTAATAAATTCTGAAGTTGAATGATAACCAGATAAACATGATTAATCCAAAAAGAATAGCAAAATCGGAGATCAAATCGTTGTTCTACGATCCAAATATGATGAAAAGAAAGTGAAAGACGAGTTTCTTCTTTTATCTAAGGAACCAGAGAAATTAAAATAAAACCTAGGCTGCCAAAGAATATTCACGAGTTCAAAAAAATCAGATTTTAAAATCTGCTATCGCGCTCCTCGCGGCCACGGAGGGGCCCGCAGGCCGCGGTAAATGAGAGTTACGCGGTCACGGCTCTTCCCGAGGCCGCGAATTTTTGCTGCAGAGGGTTGGGATTTGGGTCCTGATGTTATTCGTCGCGACCGCGGGAGGAGAAGTCGCAGACGCGGCCTTGAATCTGGGCGCGACGGAAAAAAACAGCAGCAACGGCGTGGAGCTTGGCACAGCTGCGTGAAGATGTTGTCTGCGCGACGTGGTGGAGGTCTCACGGCGTGGGGAGTGGTTCTGCCGCGGCGCGGCGCCTCAACACGCCGCGGGGAAGGAGTCTTGTCACGGCGCGGAGGAGAGGAACTTCACGGCGTGGCAGGAGAAGACTGTGATGACGGGTCGTATTTTTACTCTATACGGGGTTGTGAATAATCGCGCACTCAGGGCCTTCAATTACTCACGATAGGTGTATCTAACAGACGCACTCGGCCTTCTCCTAGACACCGTGACTTCAAGACGCTCTAATGGCCTTCTCTCCAACACTGTATGTAAACACACACTATGGCCTTGCTTATCACACGTTAGAATATAAAGTTCCCCTCTCTAAATTGACTCATCAATTCAATACTTCATTCCAAGACCTTTTTTTTATGATGAGGTACATGGGGTGTTTATAGTTGCAAAATAAATCTAAGCCTAATAGATCTAGATCTCCTAATTCAAGCAATAAAATAAATCCTAATGCTAGTAAATCTCCTAACATCTTCTACTACTAATAAATAAAAGCAATATGGAAATAAAATCATACTACTACCAAAATAATAATTAATTGTCTTGCACACCAAGTATCTTGATGCACAAGTAATTTGCTCCCAATCAATCTCTCGGCCGCCTCATATGGACGCCGCCTTCATTCGCGCGCGTGTCTCGTGCTTGCCAAGTCCTCGGCACACTCGGCCTCGCGCGCCAGTGTCGCACGCGCGCGCCCAGCCAGCGCCGCCTTTCCCTTTGCGCGTTCGCCCATCTCCCCTCGCC